TGTCGAGCGCTTGCGCTCAGGGCACAGATTACAGATACAGATACAGATACAAATATCAGATATAGTTACAGGAGTCCTCCAGACTCAGATACAGTTATAGTCAGGGGCCCAGAGAGCCCAAGCTGCATACCCAGGGGGCCGGTAGAGGTGCTCGTAGTTAGTAAGCAAGTGGAGTAATTTACTGGATGGTTTTGACAGGAGTGAGTTTTAGATTGTGTGTTGGTTGGCACCTTAGAAACATGAAATTTTGATATAGGTCCTTGTATGTTATATATATACATGTTATTTATTAGGTAGATAGATAGAGGACGCTACGTCGACGGTATGCTTCTACCTCACCTTTCAGTACAAATAAGCTTATGTCAGATCACTTGACCCGGACAGTTTGACTACTTTACGCTATTCGAGAACTACGGTATTATTTCTTATATTAAGTTTTGTTCAGTTGCTTTGCATACTCGGTACCCAGTGGTACTGACGCCCGTTGGAACCTTTTACGTACTACTGCAGTACTCATAGATGAGGATCCGATCCCTCGTGATTCCGGTAACTCATAGAGTCATCAGCTCTGTCATCGGAGCTAGACAGCTAGAGGTTTATTTCTTTTCTTTTGTTGTACAGTATGGGTAGGCGGGGCCACTGTCCCGCCATCTTATCGATATTCTTAGAGGCTTGCAAATTGTGTATTCCTTTGTGGTTAGTATTACGATGGGTGAGGCCGTGTGTATGTCTTATCTTGTTCATGACGACTGTGTGGGGCCTTATCCGGTGGTAGTGGTTACCTATCGGTCACGTAGCGGTTGCTCTAACATTTGTCAAAAGTAACTAGGCAAACATAGTGACCTTGTTGGCCATATGTTCCTTATGTTGATGTGGTTGGTTGTTGGTGATTGTGGTTGTCTGCAGTGGCTATAGGCCTAACCGGTCGGGGGCTATATTTACAGCCGTTATATGGCAGTTGATTCCATGAATCGAGTTAGAGCCAGCCGAGGCACCAAAAGTGTAGGTTGTAGTCTAGCGGTCGGATCCTAGTAGGGCACTAGGTGCCGATCTGCCCCCAAGGCGGGGCGTGACACAAATTTTGTGTGAAGCGATGGCAGAGGTTTTCCAAGCTAACACCCAAGGGTTTAACCAAGACTCTTGGTGTCAAGGCCAAGGAAATCAAGGTCGAAACTACTATAGGAATAATAGCTATGATCTAATTTGGGGCTAGAGATAGAGACCAAGATCAATGGAGAAACAAAGATGCCCCAAATAATTATAAGAGTAGAGTTTATATCTCTCCAAGAGCAAGAGGCACATTGTGAGATGACTCTTGGAAGCTACCAAAGTTGGAAGATATGATGATATATATGATGAAAAAGTGACTTCATAGAGAGAGAGTGAAGAAAGAGATGAGAGGTGAACTTTCCAAGCAGATCGGTGGTTGACTCATTTGACTTCTATCAACGAGTTAGAAGCGACGGGTGGAGAAATCTCGTACACATTAAATTAAAGGCAAAAGGGCACTTTTGCCTAGTGATACGTTCAAACCTCGGTATAGAGGGTCGTACATGTGACCATAAGCCTGCTAGGTATCTTGATAAAGTCGATGATGGAGCTTCATTGTACACAGCGTTAATAAAAGTGCTTCTTGGGAGGCAACCCAAGATAATTTTAGCTTTTTTAGAGATAATATATTTGTTCAAGTGTCTGAGAGTTAAGTCGTAATACACAAAAAGAAGTTTTAAGCATAAAGGTTGAAAATGGGGTGCAAGAAAAAAAAATTAGCACTATAGCGCATAAGACGTACGTTTGTGTAAGTAATGCGGTGCATGGACCGGTGTGACGCATAAGCTAGTCCGTGCAGGGAGGGTCGTGGCATGGTGCCACATTGACATACACAGCGGCGGCATGTGTATGGTGCCCAGGAAGTGAGAATTTCATGAGTCAATGGGTCAAACCAGACCCAAGTAGATGTTTAAGCAAAAACTTAATATTTTCATCTCATTCTCACCCCAAGCGTCTTTGCACACCCCTTTCTCTAAAATTTTCTCCAAAATCCTCATTTTCTCACAAATTCTTCCAAACTTTTTTCACCCAAATTATAAAACAAACATTTTTCTTAAAATTACTCCAACAATGGCACCAAAACCTAGCAAGTGGAAGGGATTTGACTTCTTCAAATCATGGTTCCAAAAGGTCAAGAGAGCTGATAAAGAGCAAAATGAGGATGTGAGCTTACCCATGACAACTATTGAGGGCGTTTTGGGCTCCATTGGGTCACGGAGCAAGAAGGTTAGAAATGATTTAAGGAATACAAAGAATTAAAAATATTCACATGAATTATTTATTGATAGAAAGCTTGGCATTTGAATTCTCTTACATTGTAGATAGATTGCATATTCTTGGTCTTGGCTTTGTGTTTAATGATCAGGGTGAATGTAATTAAATTTCTAGCAAATTGGGATCCCAAGAAAAGGTCAAATCAAGTAAAAATTAGAGGGCAAATTGTGAGTTTTTCGTCTAGTTGTTTTAAATAGATTGCTTGGTTCACCTATGTGAAGTCCACACCTCTATAAAAATTTAATTTGAGACCTCTCTATAGTGCAAGTCGGCCTCTAAGTGGCCTAAATTCGATCACACGGTGGACCCGTCAACAACAAGGCGAATTATTATGTGTTTCCCTTATACCCATGTGAGTAGAGGCTAGGATTTGGTTGAAATTACTTGTGCTTGTTTGGTGCCTTGAAAATCATGTGACTCATGTTACAAGGGAGAGAGTGTGTCTTGTCTATGCATTAATGACTGAGATGCCTATTAATGTTGGGGGCAATTATAAAGGATGTGTTGAGGAGAGAGAAATGGTGAAAAAGGGGAAAAAGGAGTTTAGTTTTGAAGTCTCTTGACCCAATTTAAGGGAGAACCTCAGGTGGAGGTAGTGGATTATAGGCCTAGTATGATCAGGAGAGATTGATATGACAAAGACTAAGGGAGGGCATATATGGTCTGGTCTATCCATTAGTGAGCACCATGTAAGATTTGATAATACATGTTGGAGTCACCTATATGACATGCAAATATTGCGGTTGAGAATGAATGGTGTAGCCGAGGAAGGCAAAGCTACAACAAGCGGGTTTAATTTTATTTGAGTTTATTTAGTTTAGTGGGTCGGATTTGGATTTAAAGGGAGAAACGGGTAATTTAATTGAAACAAATGTTTTAGTCAATTTGGGGGAATTCCATGCGATTGAGGATAATTTTATTTACTTTGTTAACTTGTAGTATATTTCTCATATAATATAACTTAGGGCAAAATTAACTAATATATGAAAGTAGAGGGTAGTTTTGACCCTTTTTCTGAATAGATAGATCAAAAACGAATTAAAAAATTGTGAATGAGCTTAATAGTGGCTTTCTTACTAGTTAAGTGATTTCAAACTTTGACATTTGAATGTTGATCCTATATGCATGTGGAGTGAATTGTTGGAGCTTGATTAATTTGTCTAATGATCCTAATATAAGTAGGCCTATTTATAGGGTGAATTTTGTAGTTAAATGCGAAAGAAAGTAGTAGATTGTTCGAGGATGAACAATAGTTTAAGTGTGGGGTGGTGATGAAGGGCGCGTTTAGGCATTTGTGCCATACTTTGCTTATACTTAGCTATATTTTGAGAATAGTGTGTGTGTTTTCTTTTGTTTTACAGTATATTTGTGAAAAAGATCTAATGCACATGATTAGATGCTTTCAGGTCTTAAAATGATGAATTTGGATTGTGGCTAAAAAAGAGCAAGAATGACAAAAATGAAATTGATGAGGCAGTATGATAGAAGTTGTAGAACACATGCATAGTTGTACTGCATGCTGCACAAGCCTGGTTGACAAACTAAGAGGCGTGACGCCCCAGGCAGGGTCGCACGAGAGGGGCACGACCCACAAGCAGTGTCAGTGTGGCGGAGATTTCAATTCCGGTTTGACCGAAACGAAGCTACAAACCCAATTTTAATTCAATAAGAAACAATGAAGGCTTAATTTACTTACAAATACCTTTTATTTCATGTCTTAGGCGTGTGGTAGAGAGAAGTGCAATTCATAGTGTTGCACAATTTGCTACGAATTTGTGTAATAGCTTAGTTGAATATTTGTTGGAAACTTATCAAGTTCTTGTGACTCAATATAATTTTGGAGATTTTGTTAACAAGTTTATATTATCATAAATATATCAATATGAATTCTTCTACATTTTTGTTTTTCTTCTCATAAACATGGCTTGACTAAATCTCATAAGCTAGGGTTGTGAGAATCATGATGGATTAACGAAAGTAGGCATAATAAAATAGTGGTATTTGAATGGTGAATTGTTATTCTCTTAGTTTTAATTAAGTTTTAGCGATTGCAAATATTGAAACGTGCCAGTATCTTCAACTTGCCCGACCAAGGAGGTTGAAGTTAGAAAAAAGAAAGAATATGTAGTGGCAATTTGAGGCTATCAACCTTATCCTAATTAACGAGCTCTAACCAAGGATAGATAAGTCAAGATTTATGTAGAGGGCATTAATTAAATTTTAATTCGGTGAAGGGCAAAATGGTAATCTAACTTTTTCAGCTTGAGAGCTTCCCCACTTATATAATAATATAAAAATATATATTTTTACGATCATAAAAAATATATTTTTAAGGGGAAAATATTTTACTGTCGTGAAAGATTGGACTAATAGCATGTTTGGTCAACCTTTAAAATCGGCTTATTTTGAGAAATATTTTTTTTTTTCAAAGTGTTTATAAAAAGTTTAATTTTTAAAAATATTTTTGAGCAGCAATTAATGTTTGATCAAACTTTTAAAAGTGATTGTAAGTATATTTTCTCAAAAGTGTTTCTTAAATAAGTGTTTTGGAAAATTTTTTTTTTAGCTTTTGAACAAAATAATTTTTTCTACTCTCTAAAAGCATTTATTTTCTCCCTAAAATCTGGTCAAACAAACTTAGCAAATTAAAAGTAAGGAAACGACAAAAAATAAAATGGAGATGCGGGGTATCGATCCCGTACCTCTCGCATGCTAAACGAAGCGCTCTACCATACGAGCTACATCCCCGATTATTTCAAGCTCTTCAAGTTACAAAATTAATAATCTATGGTGCATGCTGCACAAGCCTAGTTGACAATTAAGGCGTGGCGCGGGCGGGAATGGCGCCTCGGAAGGAGCCGACCCACAAGCGATGTCGAGTGTGGCAGATTTCAATTCCAGTTTGACCGAAGCAAAAGCTACAAACCCAATTCTAATTCAAGAAGAAGCACAATGAAACTTAATTTATTTTACAAATACCTTTTATTTCATGTGTAGGCGTGTGGTAGAAGTGTAATTCATAGTGTTGCACAATTTATACTTCACGAATTTGTGTAATAGCTTGGTTAGATATTGTTGTTGGAAACTTATCAAGTTCTTGTGACTCAATATAATTTTGGAGATTTTGTTAATAAGTTTATATTATCATAAATATATCAATATGAATTCTTCTACATATTTTTGTTTTCTTCTCGCAAGCAGGCAGCTAAATCATAAGCCGGGTTGTGAGAACCATGATGGATTAGCAGTAGGCATAATAAAATAGTGGTATTTGAATGGTGAATTGTTATTCTCTTCGTTTTAATTAGTTTTAAGCGATTGCAAATATTGAAAGCATGTCCCGTATCTTCAACTTGCCCGACCAAGGAGGTTGAAGTTAGGAAAAGAGAATAATAATGGCAATTTAGAGCTATCAACCCTCGCATCTAATTAACTTGAGACTCTAAGCGAGGATAGATAAGTCAGATTTATGTAGAGGGCATTAATTAAATTTTAATTCGGTGAAGGGCAAAATGATAATCTAACTTTCAGCTCAAGGCCCGGGGAGTTCTTCTTTCACTCTTTTACTTATGTTTTATTGTTTTTTAGCACGAGACGGTGCTACCGATTAAGTGTTAGGTGGGAGAAGTAAACTTCATTATATCATGCATGCTTTCATTGCTAAATTTGTCTATGGTAGGCATAGTCTTTTTGTGTGATTCATGACTATTTCTGTTAACTTGTAGTAATTTTTTATTTTAGTTGATTTTTTTGTTTTTATTTGGGAATTACACTAAATTTTTATTTTTGGTACTTTTCCGGTGGATAGTCCTTTAAAATCAATTAGTGGGTATATATTTTTTTTAGTCATAGAGTCATGACTTGTACCAATGACGATCGTCTTAAGGAAAATTAATCATTAGGAGAACAAGAACTTGGAATCTTCTGAATTCTATGTGCTTCACTTAAATATCATTGAGACTTTGTTAAATTCACTCAGAAATGCATGAAAAGTTAAAAATACTTAGACTTTTTGGAACTTGACTTCTATGCTTGAAAAATTGGGCTTAATTATATTTATGCATGCAATATGGATATATGTGTTTATGTAATCTTGATTGGCATTATGGAACCATTTGCGCCAATAACTAATTAAGGTATTTTTAGTATACTCCAGCATGCTTGCAAATTGATGTCTAGAACTTGCCCGATGTGTATGCAAAATGAAATAAGAATGATGAATCTAGAAAGTGATATAAACATTTTTTTTGGTCAGCTATTTGCCATCTATTTTACCTACCTTGATTGTGATTGTCCTAGTTAGCCATTTTGAGCCTTGGCCTTCTTTTGACAATCATCTGTTATAGCTTAATTTCTTTTGTTCTATTAACTTTTATTTGATCCAAATGACTCGTAGAGCACTTTGAGTGAAAATTTTGCATAAAAGGAGCATAAGTTGAGAAGTGAAGGGAAAACAATAGTGTGGAAGTTAGAAGAAAAGAAGATGGTGAAATTTGCTAAACAAGGAGAGTAAAGTAGTGGTGTAAGAAAAAGAGAAAAAGCTTTGGAAAAAAAATGAATGAATGAATGAATGAAGGCAAAATGGTTAAAAATATCCATCTACTTTCATATATTAGCTAATTTTGCCCCTAGTTATACTATATAGCTAAATATACCCCGCAATTAACAAAGTAAATAAAATTACCCACTGTCGGATAGAATCCCCAAATTGACTTAAATATTAATTTAATTAAAATTACCTATTTTCCCTTTTAAGGCCAAAAACCCCATTCACTAAACTAAATAAACTCAAATCCAAATTAAACACAAAACTCACCTTTTCATCTTGTAATATAATGTAAATACTACATTTTGTTTCTCATTTTTATGGGAACGTGATTAACGATGGCCCGTTTATACTATTTTTTATCTATTTAAGCGTCAGTAGATTTACTTCCATACACTAACATTATAAAAAAAAAACTAAACCAAATCAAACCGATAGTTTTTATTTAATTTTATATAAAATTAAATTTTACAAAAAATCAGGTAGAGTTTTTTCTGTTTTTAAATTTTTTAATATTTGAAATTTTATAACTTAATATTCTTTTTTCTGTTTTTATATTTTTAAAAATTAATCCTTAGTGAATAGAAACTATTTTAATCCGACATAAATCTGATTTCTTCTATAATTACCATCTCATCTACATTAATCAGAGTCCATTCTACCTATAATATAACAAATATTTCAGTCATCGACCGAATTTAAATTTCTTTGTCTTATAGAAATCTTTTAAACTTTAGGTAATATTGGTGTAAAAATTCAGTAATTTATTCAACAAGTTCTCCTTTTTCCTCAAATAAGTAAATTTGGTGCTTTTAGAGATGAGTGTTGGGGTTTAATTTTGTTTGAGTTTATTTAGTTTTAGTGAGTCGGTTGAATTTAAAGGGAGAAATGGGTAATTTAGTGGCTCATTTTGAGTCAATTTGGGGGATTCCATCTGATTGAGGGGCAATTTTGTTTACTTTGTTAACGGCGGGGTATATTTGGCCATATAATATAACTAGGGGCAAATTAGCTAATATATGAGAGTAGAGGATAGTTTTGACCTTGCACTGTGGGCAAATGAATCAAGCAAATTAAAAAATTGTGAATGAGCTTAAGCAGTGGCTTTTTACTAGTCACTAAATTGTAAATCGAAAAATAAAAGAGGTGTAAGGAGAAAATAGGAGATGGAAGAATGTGCTAAAGAGTCGAGAATTGTGAAGTATTAAGTGCTTAGGGAGATTAGCCACTATCTTAATGGTTCCTATCCATCCTTTAGCCTACATTACAACCATCTTAATTCCTAATTGATCCTTGATTCAATGTTCTATATTAATTGGAGTATTAAACTAAGGAAAGCCTATGGGTCGTCCTTAGCATGCATATTGAGTTCTTTGAGAGAGTGAGCAGAAATTATTTATTTATGCCCAAGTTAATATTATTATATATCTTGAGTGTGAAATGACAACTCTCCAAATTGTGAGAACATGTAATGGTAAGACTTTGGTATATCTTGGTTGATAAATTACATATGATTCATGTTGGCCCAAAAATATATCTTGTTGAGTTAGTTCTAGAAGTTAAGTGATTTCAAACTTTGACATTTGAATGTTGATCCTATATGCATGTGGAGTGAATTGTTGGAGCTTGATTAATTTTGTCTCATGATCCTAAATATAAGTAGACCTATTTATAGGGTGAATTTTGTGGTTAAATGCGAAAGTAGAATTGTTGAGATGAACAATGATTTAAGTGTGAATTGGTGATGAAGGGCGTGTTTACGCATTTTATTAGCCATACTTTGCCCCTTGCTAGCTATATTTTGAGAATAGATTGTGTGTATTTTTAACTTTTTGTTTTTATAATATATTTGTAAAAAAGATCTAATGCACATGATTAGATTTTAGGTCTTAAAATGATGAATTTGGATTGTGGCTAAAAGAGCAAGAATGGCAGTGGAATTGATGAGGCAGTATGATATAAGTTGGCACATGCATAGTTGTACTATGGTCTGCATGCTTGCACTTTGGCTTTGGTTGACGAACTAAGCGTGACGCCCCAGGCAGGAGAAATGGCGCACAGAGGGCACGACCCACAAGCGGTGTCGGGTGTGGCGAGATTTCAATTCGATTTGACCGAAACAGAAGCTACAAACCCAATTTTAATTCAATAAGAAACAATAGAGGAAGCAATTTACTTACAAATACCTTTTATTTCATGTCTTAGGCGTGTGGTAGAGAGAAGTGCAATTCATAGTGTTGCACAATTTATACTTTTACAGATGTGTAATAGCTTAGTTGAATATTTGTGGAAATTTATCCAAGTTCTTCTGACTTAATACAACTTTGGAAATTTTGTTAACAAGTTTATATTATCATAAATATATCAAATTGTAATTTTCTACATTTTTGTTTTTTCTTCTCATAAACATGGCTTGACTAAATCTCATAAGCTAGGGTTGTGAATGTGATGGATTAACGAAAGTAGGCATAATAAAATAGTGGTATTTGAATGGTGGTGTTATTCTCTTCGTTTTAATTAGTTTTAGCGATTGCAAATATTGAAACGTGCCAGTATCTTCAACTTGCCCACGTGCGGAGGTTGAAGTTGAAAAAGAGAATAATAGTGGCAATTGAGGCTATCAACCTTATCTAATTAACTTGAGCTCTAACCAAGGATAGATAAGTCAAGATTTATGTAGAGGCATTAATTAAATCTTAATTCGTGAAGGGGGCAAAATAGTAATCTAACTTTCAACTTAGAGGCTTCAGCTTATATAATAATATGATATATAGATATATATATATATATATATTTTACGATCATAAAAAATATATTTTTAAGGGCAAATATTTTACTGTCGTGAAAGATTGGACTAATAGCATGTTTGGTCCAACCTTCTAAAATGAAACCTTTTTGAGAAGTATTTTTTTCAAAGTATTTAGTATAATTTTAAAAATATTGCGAGCAACAATTAATGTTTGATCAAACTTTTAAAAGTGATTATAAGTATATTTTTCTCAAAAGTTTTTTTAAATAAGTGTTTTTGGAAAATATTTTTAGCTTGTGAAAAAATGGCTTTTTCTACTCTCTAAAAGCATTTATTTTCTCCCTAAAATCTGGTCAAACAAACTTAGCAAATTAAAAGCAAGAAACGACAAAAAAATAAAATGGAGATGCGGGGTATCAATCCCGTACCTCTCGCATGCAAAGCGCTCTACCA